ATGTGCATTTCAAACACCAAAGAATTCCACAAGTTCCTCATCAGGTGACATCTTCAGCATCCTGGAGCAGAGCACAGGCTCAGTTCAATCAGAGTTTTGTCTTTGTTCCCCTGGCTCCTCACCTCCTCCTCCTCCTCCTCCAAACAGCCCCACCAGGCTCTGAAGAGCATGAACAGAAATCCTTTCAATGTGAGAGGCTGAAGCTCTGCCGTGTTGGCAGCTCTGGTTTCCTTTTGTCCTCTGACCAAAGAGTGTTTGGCCAGTAACTCCCTCCTGGCCCAGAGGAGAGGCTGACAAAGAGAAAGTCGGGCTCACATGCTGTAATTCTGAGTGCAGGAGTCTCTCTTTGGATGTGGAACATCTGGGAATGGCCCCCACCCCACAGAGCTATTTGATGGACGTAAACAAGCCTGTGAGCACAAACAAAATGTGCACAGCTGTGCAGACGTCATGGACAACTCCAGCTCTGGCTCTGCCAGGCATGGCAGGACACTGTGAGCAGGGGGACAGTCAGGTTAAGCTCTGCTTTCCTTCTTGCTGCCTATTTTTTCCACCTTCCTTGCTCAGTGAAGTGATACCAAGCTAATCTGTAACAGTGGCCATGTCGAAATTTGAGTCACCTCCTGGGGTGAGGTTCTGCCGCTCACGTTTGTCATGTCTCCTGATCTGCTTTGGAGATTCATTTTTCTCCGGCTAGTTACAGACACATACACAAGGCACTGCTGGGATCTGGACCCATCAGGGTTTCAGTCAGAGAATCATGGAATCACAGAATGGTTTGGGTTGGAAGGGACCTAAAAGCCCGTCCAGTTCCAAACCCCACACCTTCCACTAGCCCAGGTTGCTCCAACCTGGCCTTGGACCCTTCCAGGGTTGGGGCAGCCACAGCTTCTCTGGGCAACCTGTGCCAGGGCCTCCCCACCCTCCCAGCCAAGAATTCCTTCCTAAGAGAAGTTCCTAAGACGCCAGTCCCAGACATGTCACTCATTTTCAGAACTTTTCCTATCTCGAACACA